TTCAGATTTGGTCGTTTAAAGTATTATATTCTAATACATTAATCGTTAAAAAACTACTTTATCCTGGAGTAACAGAGTTTATAATAAGTTCAAAAAAAGTAACTTTTTATGCGATAAAGATATTTCCAAAATACAACAAAGTAAAGAAAGGAAAACTGTGAGGTTTAACCTCAGATGTCAAACGACAAGTATTTTTTATAAGTGTATTTTTAAGCATATATTTATACACCCATACAAATCCTGAATGAGTAAGCAAGGAATTTTAAATTTAATTTTAATCTGGAGTGCAAAAAAGTAGCAATGTTAATTACAATTTACACTATTACAAATTCAATAGGTACCTACAATTACGTTAAATAAAACTAACCTAAATGTAACAATTAGGTTAAATGAAACTAACCTAATTTGTAATAGTTTTTAACTGTGGTAGAGCTACCTTCACTCTTGCACGAATGGGTAGGTCCGTCCGAGGAAGTACCATGACCTCACAGGAAACCGGCGTAAAGTGGTAGTGTCGTACTTCTGCTGCTTCGTATCGTGAGTGAGGTAGCCGGGGCCCACTTTATCAAAAGGTGGCAACGCAGCTGTAACTTTACGGGTGTTGCAAATGTCCATGAGCCGCGGTTATCACTTAACAACAGGTGAATCGCCAGCGCGATTACCTTACGTAAAAAAAATATTTTATAGTTACATACCATGCGTATTATTCCCGTAAATACAAGAAATTATTAGGTACACATTTTTTTAATTAGTTTAACTTTTAATTAAATTTGTTTATTTTTAAATAACAAATTAAAATTATTTAAATACTAAATTAAAAATTATTCGCACTGCATAAATAAAAACATGGGAAAGGAGTAAAAAACACGAAACGTTTTACGCTAAATAAATATAGATTTGTCTGGCAATCTTCATCCGACAGCGGCGAGCTCACAGTTCAAAGTCCTTTAGACGTGTGTCTACATTTACCATACATCCCATTGATTATAATGAAAGTATACACCATGCCAGATCAAAATTTAAACAATTTATACTTTAATACATCTACTACCACCTTTGTTCAACGAAAATTACATAGCAATAAATATACTTCATATGACTGTAATATGAAAAATATTCTGGTTCGTAGGAATACACGCTCTTTTTTAGATATCGACGTAGTACTCAATTTCTCATTCGTCCATTAGCTCTGAACTTATGTAAGCTAAGAGTAATAAACGTTTGCCAATATTTTTACATCCAGTGAATATGGACTGGTACTTATTTTCTCCAATCAAAATTCATTCTGCCAAATAAATTGAAGCAATGAAAACTAAAGTCTTGCAATTTTTTAATACCAAATTCAACACTAAGTTGCTTTAATTTAAAGCTCATAAAAATAAATGGTTTACTCGTATACTTTAGGTACTCAGTTTATACCTTATCTTATGGTTAAAAGTGTTTTTAATAACGTGTATCACAACAGTTATGCCATGATAATCATCCTAAAGTGCCAACAAAATTGCATTAATATATTAATTCACCAATTTTATAAACCCATAAATGCAGTAAATTTAAACAAAAGTATCTATGTTAATGGGAAACTATCCTTGCGTTATGTCGTGACTGAATTAGTATTCCAGCAACCATTCTTATTTCTAGAGCCTTGAGCATGAAGGTTCAATTGAGTTCCCGTTTTATCGGCAATACATTTAATATGCATTGCTAGCGGAGCGTGGAAACTATTGCATGTTTTGCTATGAATCCTTTGCATATATAAACAACAAATTTCTATCGTTGCCGACTTACAAGAAACTTAAGAATGCTTTCTTAATTTACAAATACTACTTGTACAGTGTTATAAATAAAATTGAACTTGGGTGATAATATTATAAGACAAAAATGAATTTAAGTTACTCTTTAATTTAATTACCAGTATATTTTAAACGAAATAGACAAATATTTATATTATAATGTTGATTAAACATTTAATAATAATAATGTTTACATTTAACCAAAACTATCAAAAAGAAATAAATAACGATAACTCAATTTTAAGCGAATCTAATTTAAAAGGAAAACTACTTTTAACTTCAACAGTTTTCACATTTACATTTCTTTTTCTCCTCGTGTTGGTACCTTGAAGCTGAGAATTGTATGAATCCAGAGATAGCATTTCTTAAAAATTTCTCACAATGATCTTGTTTAAATGTTCTTTTTTAAAGTTAAAAATAACTAGCTTTACACCCATCCACGTGCATAGTTATCTTCTTTAAAGATAATACAGCTTTAAGCTAAGCTCATCTGTAAGTAGCGACATTTACGATACCTCTAATAATTTCAAATTCATGGTATTCGAATAACCTGTGTTCAAATTCCGGTTTTGGAACCATAGAGTTGTTACTTACACTAGTATTAATTTAACGTTAGCTCAACGCAAATGGAAAATGTTTTGCAAGTGCTCAAAAGGTTTGTTTTTACTACGACTCCTATGTCAGTGGTTCGACTCCTACGTATTTGTGATTATGTAGGTATTACAATTCATTCTTACACTTATCTCAATTCTATTGCATTTATTTTCATATTTTTAATAGATAAGACATACGATAAGACAATAAGCCGCCTAGGGACATCTATAACATTTATGGAGTCACAGGTGCATTGCTAGCCTATTAAATAATAGGCTCTGGTTACCTCATCTGACAAAAGAAACGCAAAACCATAATATTTCATCTTCTGTAACGTTAGTTGTGGTATACCACGCAGTCTTCGCTGTTGCACCAATCGAAAAGGCCCCCCTGGTAGAGTATCACAACCTCACAGAAGCTTGAAGTTGAAGTATTACACTTCCGCGTTTCGTCTGGTAAGTGAGGTAGCCGGGGCCCACTTTAACTTGAGTTGGCAACGTAGGGTCCCTTGACCCGGGTCTTCCAAATGTCAATGGGCGGCGGTTATCACTTGACAGATGAGCGGTGCGTGGTCCCACCACAGTAGAGTCTCAGACCTGGATGTTTCATCTACTCACAATTTGTTTGTGTAAGTTAATATGATTACGATGAATACTAACTAAATTTTCTTTAGCACAACATCAATTACTTGCACGGCTTAACAAGTGTGCTTCACAAATGCCGATTCTTTAAATAAGAAAATAATGCTATGAGATCAACATCTTTTTGTGAACAAAAATAGAGTAGGGCTTAAAACTTTCCATTTTTCAACCGAAAATTTTCCAAAGGTGGCTGAGCACATAATTTAACTATATACACATATATAACCATTCCAAATATAACTGCCATAGTGGATAACCCGTTGTTGAAATTGACAATGCAACCAAATTGGAGAAGTCAAGTGCCAGCCAGTTTTGCATTTAAAAAAAATTAAGTTCCGCCCTACCCTACAATACTATTTCATTGGTTCTGGTGGAAGATGTGTGAGAAAATTAAATGTATGTAATGAACGATGTGATGATCTTCCGTCTCATGAATGCTTCCGTTCCGTTTGGATCTGATATAAGCTTAACCCCCACCGTAATTCGTCTATTCTAATTTATAATTGGTCACTTTCTGTAACAAGTCTTGGTTTCTCATACAAGAAACACAAAACTTTTTTACGCAAAACTTTCTCAATTGTCTGGTACACATGTAAGTATATCCCTTTTCCTCTATTCTTTGACTAACACACAAATCTAAATAGATAGGTAATTCACGAGCCGATATAAGACTTATAATTAATACAACTTCTGTAGCATTAAACTTTAGCATAATTAATTATATGAAATGATATAATACTTTCTTTTCTGGAAATTGAAAATATGAGAAAGTTTGACGTCAAATTCAATAAATATATATCATTTTTTTCTGTTTCTTTGTCTGCCTCCTTCCCATAGTAAACAAAATTTAATTAATCTCATATATTTCCTTGAATCGTAAAGACTCCTCTCTCCGATCACGAAGAGATCTCCGCACTCCCTGATAAAAAGATCGGTGCCCTTATCAGGGAAGTCATCAAGCTTATCACAATACGCCAAGGCCAAATATGCATTACCATAGTTAGGAACTAAAAACTTAACATAATCCCGAAACCAAAGTGCCACTTATCTCCGTATATTAATTTTGTTAATAACAAACTATTCCTACATTACAATACTATAAAACAATTTCAATTGATTATCTGCGAGTTCTTCACTTTTATTTACTATAAATACCGATACTAAAAAGGGACAATAATAACCAAAAGACATCCTTCATTCTTGCCTACGCAATTTTTTATGGCCCCATTCCAAATAACAGAATGGCAGTGATATAAGACGCACTTAGGATTGGACCCATCACATGGTTAAAGTCTTTAGTCACTAGATATATCGGAAAACCCAAATTAGTAGAATATATGACCACTACCGAAAAAAAAATTACGACATTTTTATCAAATTTTTAATTTCCACCTAAAGTGAAAAAACCTACCACTAAAAATTTAGAATAAGAAACAAAATTTTAATACTTCACTAAATAAATTACGGCTTTTTGATATGGAACTAGCAGCTTTAAACATTTTTATATACAAAAAAATATATAAAACCGTACTGTAATAAAAGATATGTATCCATTCTTTCCATTATACATTCCATCAGAAAATATTACATTTCTATGTTCTAAACGAAAATGAAAATTTAATTCATACCGTCAAGCATTATACACGTGTTTAAATTTTAGATAAGTGCTTATTAAATACAGTAGATGAGCTTTTAAACCCATTCGAGGCTCCGAGCGCGATAAAATGACTCTTATAAATATTATGCACCAACATATTTCGAAAATTATATTAATATTTTAATTAAATAAAGGATGGAGGAGGGATGTACTTATTATTTTTGTATGTAACAACTGTATTCGGAAAAAGCTCCTTTTAATTAATGTGGCGATATTGCAAAAACGCAAAAATTGACCGGCTCATTAAGGTGAGTCAAGTGACACGTGAATTCCACGCTGGGACGTCTGTCATGTCGTGCGGGGAAATGGCCCCGAATGAGGCTATCTGTATTTTTTCACTCGGCGGGCTCGCGAGTTCCGCGGAGGCCCGTGCACCCGACGGAGCCGCGGCGCGGCGCCGCCCCGCTCCGTTCGCGGTCTCCATGGCGACCAGCTCAAATGACGTATCGATCCCTCGTGGGGGCGGGGGCGCCGCGGGGTGGCGCCGCTCCACCCGCCGCCGCCACCCTTGCACCCCAGCCACCGCCACTCGACCGTTGGCCCATGCAAAATGACGGATGTAAAGTTTGGATATACCTCCTTGGAAGGAAATGATATTTTCATTAAAATGAAAATGAGGTAATGTTTTATGATTTATATCTCTCCCGCTATGTATTCGTTTGGCGTTACTCGAAGCTTGGCAGTGGTCTCCTTAATGAATTTGAATAGCATTGTGATTTCAATATCTGAAACGATATATGTTGAATTTACACACACGTTTTAAAACATCCTACTTTCGTTATTCGACTAATAAATATCATCAACTAGATTCATCTAACAGATAAACATTAGTATGAGAAGTAAGCTGTTTAATTTGTTTCGATGCGTTTTCGAACAAATTTTTCAAAATAATTATGCTCGTTAGAGTCGTGAAGACACACGTATTATTAACTTTTACCTATTGTAACAAACACAGGTAAACTTACAAGCAAATAAACATAACCATTCGTGATGCTCACATTAAACCAACTTAAACCATAAATATCGGTACTAAATACGTTCGATGTCGGTTTTTACTGCTCAGGCATTATTTTGCAATTGTAATGATCTGCTACAAATCAATACCAGTTATAGACTATAAAATGGTTTATACCCTAGAGTTACCTTTTTTTTCTTATCATGAAAAAATAAATTCACTCTCCTGCCTAAACATTTCTTACATTTACAACATTCATCAAAAATATGACCATTTCAGATATCTTTTATTGTAACTTTTCCACTAAAATCTATTTAATTAAATTAAGTCGAAAACATCCATTTTATCGTTCCTATACTTTCCCCTATAACAAAACTTTACCATTTTTCCAATATCATCACAACTAAGAAGCGCGACGCGATGAAACTGGTATATTTCAAAGAACTTCCAACATTATGCTCAAAGGCACTAATTATACCTACGTATGAGACTTCAGAAACGCCGACGAAACTTTGATTAGTTCAAGGTATTAATTTCCCGAACCTTCTTCAGGAATGCAATTAAAGCTTTGTTATAGCGGGGACAAACCGAGAAGCACTGTTTACAGTATTGCATCTCCGTCGTACGCACACAATTTATCTCATTAAGTGCAGCGGTTGTAATTATGTTTCTTTCATAGGTTCCAATGTATTATTGAATATATTTTCATATGGTATTTGAACGAATTGTATTCGACCATGATAATTTTTAGTGTTTTTCACATACTGTACGCGGCAGGCGCACTAGGTATAAAAACTTGAAAATTGCAAACCTGGCAAAACCTGAAACATAAAAATAATATATTTAAATTTATGTAAATTTTTTTTCAAGAACCAAATTTTCAAATTATTTTTTTAACTTTTGAAGATGTAAATGTTATTTATAACTTAATTTATTTACAAATCTTTTATTAATAAATACAGCCTTAAATAAATATAAGTAGCTACATAAAGAGATAGTATTTATTGCAATTAAATTTCAAATATTTTTCTTAAATCAAACCATTGCCGTGTTTAAACGTCTCTTCTAAAATTTTGTTTCAAACATTAACATAATTAAGTGGTTCTCAAAGTTTTCCCATTATAAACTTAGCGAGAAATTTTATTTTTCCCTCAAGTCACCCGTCTCTGTGTGCGAGCGTGTGCACGAAACAGCGAATTGGATTTTCTCTGGTGTGAGTAAACCTACTTTTGTCGACAGAACAGGAAAACCTCGGAGATTCATGAAATATTAATGACAAATTTTCTAAGTATATTTTAGGCTATAATACAAGGTGGTTCGTATTTGGTATAAATTTTACAATAATATCTTGTTTCAAAATAAGAACGGTTATGAAATTTACTACATAGTAAATACTCACGCTATTCACGTAATACAGACGCGTAATAAAGACAATCTAACGATGACATCGACGTAATAATATATTTCACAATACCCGAAATATCATTTCAACCAAATATTTTTAGTGCAAAAACATTTAAAATCATAATTAAAATCGCTTCCGTCGTAATAGTACAAACAGATACAAAATTAGAAGTCTTAAATTGAACAAAAAATTTTTTCTCTACTGTGGTTCCACTGGTACGTCAGTGATTTTGGAACTAACTCAGTACTTTGAGATCAACTTGATAAGGTTAGGACCATGACAATGTATATTATTTGGTTTAAAATTATTTCAGTTGCGTACCTGTAAACAAAGGAACAACACAACGTTAGTAGCATGCAAATTAATAAATTTTTAAAATAACACTCAATTTTTTTTTTAAAAACCATGCCCTTAGTTTAGGATAACATTATCCTGTGTTGCAAGGAAGTTTTTCAAACATAAATTTTACGGACAAACACCCAGATGCGAAACAACTATCTGTGGGTTACACAAATAGTTATCCCGTGTGGGAATCGAACCCACGACCCCCGACGCCGAAGCCGATACGGCGGCGATTGCGCCACGGAGTCATCAAATAAATAAAAACTTAAAAAGGGAAGAATAAAACATTAATAAACAAAAAATTATCTACACGTCATATCGTAAGTAGGCTTGTCTCATCCAATTCCGATTATCATCATCCGATTATTAGGCGTTTTTTTTAATCTACATTTTGTAAAAAGCGTTGATTTTCACTTCAGGTTTATAAATATCCGTTAAGATAATAATATTATGTGTTATATCGGTTTATGACTTTCTGACTTATAGATTTTTTTGTCCACGTGAAATTTATGTTTGTAAAACGTCCTTACAACACAGGATAATGTTATAAATTGAAGCGGAAGCCCACCACAAACGTAATTGTTCAAAGAAAAACTTGATTATGCAAGAAACAAAAATGGTAAAGGCTATTCTAAAGATTTGAGTTTTAGTCATAACGTCTTCGCTCGATGTGAACTAAGAAATATAGATCCTAGCGAGCAAAACCTGTACTAAATCACTAGTCAGTATTATTACATTCATAATAATTCTACGACATGGGTAGATAAATACTGGTATAGCTCTTCTGTAACAGTGAAATCGAAAAAACGACCTCGACGGAGCACCGGAAGATTATCCTATTTTCTTAACTCTGTTATAAATCTATCGCTACGGCGCGTAAACATCTGTGTATTTGTATTTAGAGGTTGTTTTACTTGTCTTGTAAATGGAATGAAGAAAGAATTTAAGATTTGATTAAAACTGAGATTGATTAAATTTGAGTTACAGATTTGAAATTTTATTATAGCTGATATCAATTATTACGACACTCCCAAAAACACTCATTCAATGCTTCTTTATACATCCTATTGAACAATAGACCTTGGTCAATATCTAAGTTGAGTTTATCGAATTAAAATTTAACTAAGTTCTTGGAATTTCAGTCATACGGATCTCAGCTCGGACATTTTGGAATATGCATGATTTGTGACACAAAATTGCGTGTCTTGTTCGATTTTCTTACGTAACAATAACATCATTTTATTTGTTAACGGTGTAATAGAACTGTCACTAAAAACCTCATAATCCATTCGCTCACGTCGGGATACTTTCGGTTAGGTTAGATTATCAACTCGGTCCCCTCCAACCGGGTTCCCACCTTTTCGTGGCCTAGGGGCTTTGAAGCTACGGCTTGGTCACTCATGGTGAAACCAAGAGGAACCACAGTGGGCCGGCCTGCAGTGCGTGCCTGAGTGGGCCCCTCTGAGTGGACTCATTAAGCCCACTCTGGATGCATGCTAGGTGGATGCTGGGGACGCATCGAGGGCGTAGAGGAGAAGCCACTCTCCCTGTGACCCTTGTATTGCGTTTGGTCGCTCTCTTTATCTCCCGCGAACCGGCGGGGCGGCATTTTGATGCAGTAGTGTTTTAAGTGTTGCCGAGGAGAGTAGTATCGGTATTGCGGTTCACCGTACCCTCTCTGGCCTAGATGTGATGTGTGGTGAGCGGCGGATCCACAGATCAGGTCCACCGCTAGCCGCCCAGCTACTTGTTGGCAGTGGTTCTACCGGCTCCCATGGCCTATGGGCAGCGTAGTCTAGGGAGTTGGTTGCGCTTTAAAACAGGGCAAATATGAAAACGTTTACTTTACATGAAGTATCTGCCGAGGCGGTCAGTGTTGGTAGGGTCACGGAAGTATGCGAAAGTGTTCCCGTAACCCTGATTGCGCCCTGGGTCTTCTATTGTATTTTTATGCTACTTTTTACCTCAGAGATCCTTCATTCATAACGTGATTTTAAAAATTATTTTAGCACTAGCATAAACGGTGGTAGGGCCACGCAGCAGCCTCGGCTGTTGCACAAATGGGCAGGCCCTTCCGGGTAAGTGGAAGTATGACAAATACTTTCACGTTTCGTCTGGTAAGTGAGGTAGCCGGAGCCCAATTTTTAATCATCATCAGTGTAACCCTCGAGTGTAGCAGATATCCATAGGCGGCGGTATTCACTTACCATCAGGTGAACCGTCTGCTCGTTTAGCAACTTTTCACATAAAAAAAGCACTTGGTTCGCTTTAGCATCCATGTGGTCCGATATAAATTCGTTGGTATTATTTTCTGATTCCGGATATACTTCAGGGAACTCCTCAAAATTATATGGAAAATATACGGTCATAATTAACATTATGAAATTTCAATTTCACAACAGTACTTTAAAAATTCGTGTATTTATGGAATATGAGTTCCGTCGTCAACCAACTCAGCATAAACGGCACGTAACATCAACAACATTTAGGGAGAGAACTTTACAAACGATGCGTTCGTTATTAGTTTGTCCGGTTCCGTTCTGGAAAACAAGATGTCTTAAGGTATGTTTTCAAGACGAAAATACAGCTATAAACATTTTACGAAATAAATCAAAACTTAAAAACGATAATGTACGCATATTTGCTGACCAAACGCCTATGCAATTAAGCTTTCTTAAGAATCTACGGGAGGAGTTGCATCGCCGCAAAGAAAGCGGTGAATCTGACCTCGTAATAAAATACATAAAGGGTTTACCAAAAATAATTAAGGTTACCACAAAAAACTGATACCGAGGTATTCTACTGAACAAAACTATAAGCAACAAGAAACAGTAGAACTCATAACTTACCAGCATGTCGATAACTATCAGAATATATTGTTATCTTCGT